TCAGGTGCTTGAGGGCGAGAGCAGTGTGACAGGTGACAGAGCACATTCCTGGGGACAGTGGCTGCTCCACTCTGTAGTCATTGGGGAAGAGCCACTAAGGGGGTTTTGTGTGTGTGTAGATTTTCCACTTACTGAATGCTTTTCCCTTAAACTTAAACAAAGGCTTTAAATTTTTAACTGTTTTTGATAGAAAACATTTCGCACCTCCTTGGACCCGTTAACTGGAACACTGAGCTTTCTTACTGATTCGAGTCATAATCATAAAAATACAGGATCACATGGTGCATCTCCCTCAGCTCCACGAAGGAGTAACGGGTTGCTGCCCCCTCACCCAGGGGCCCCGTTCTTGGATCTGTCTAGTAGTCACAATGCACTAAATTAATTTAAATCGCTCCTGGTGGGGAAAACAGAGGACCAGGTTTATTTGAATCGCGTCTAAATCCATGAAGAGTAAAGAGGTTCTTAGAGAACATGTGAGGAGCCCTCTTCATGGGTTTTGGGCACAGACGTTGTGACATCTCTTCTGACTGTTCAGGTGCCTTTTTGTCACTCTGGATTGTACAGGTTGTCAGGAGGTTGCCTCCAGACGACTGGGGCGCGTTGGAGTATATCCATTGTCCAGCTGTATACTAGTGACTGCGGTAAACTGGGTCCCCCATGACAGCCAGTGGGGATATTTGGGGGTGCCTGACAACAAAATTTCTAGATATGATCATTTCTAAAGAGGAGGAATGTAGGGATCTGGCTATGAGAATGTGCCTCCTTTACAGGTTATTTGTTGCAAATACTGTGAGTTTTATCACCAGCTGGCTCAGTGACTTGGTATCCTTATCTATAAAGTGGAGGGGGCAGGGTGTCTGGCCTTGTGTCTCTGAGCCCCATTCTGGATTCCCTAAGTATCCAGTCAATTCCCTATTCTCTCCAACAACACACCCCCTAGGAATTTAGTGATGGCAAATCTTGATATTCTCCCAGGCAACTTTTATGATAGAAATTAATTCGTCCTATTCAGCTTCAGCTTATTAAAATTTGCATTAAAACTTTTTGGTTTTTAAAGGACTGATGAGATTGCCTTAACATTACCGAGTGACTTGTAAATACCAGAGCCTGCCAATTAACTCAGATGGCCGTGGCAGCCACTGCTCCCATCAAAAAGGCTGAGTCACTGAGAAGCTCCCGCCTTCCAAGGGCCGGATGACTCAGCAAGCCCAGCTACTTTGCAAATTGGGATAAGGAGCGTAGGATATTAGACTTCCTTTCGTTCTTTTTCCCTTTCTGGTGATTTAGACGTGGATTCTCTAATAGGGGCTTATTTTTTCCTTTGTTTTCTTTCCAAAATAACATGTACTTGTCAGAAGTTCCAACTGTACACACTTATATAATACAGAAAGTGGAAAGTTCTTTCTTGCTTCCCTCCCTAGAGAGAGCCACTCTTTACACTTTAGTGACCATTCTTCCAGAAATTGTTCTCTATTCTATTTATTAACCTTTTCTTACACAAAAAGAGATTGTGTTTACCTATACGGTTTTGCAACTTGATTTTGTGCGATATGTCTTGGAGACTTTTCCATTTCGTGTATGTAGGTCTGTCTCATTTTTATATTTAGGTCTGTCTCATTTTTAGCCGCAACGTTGGTTTCCATGGTATTGTTACATCAGAAATTATTTAATTAGTCCCCTCCAGTCTCAGTCTGTGTGCCTCCCAAAGCTGATCCTACGACAATGACCTAGGTGCATATAGGCTTCTGGGGAGGTGAGCCCAGGAAACACTGATAAGAGAGTGGGGAAGTGAGAGAGGAAGGGCCAATCTGGGACGTTTGATGAGTGGGCAGCTGCAACTCGGGAGGTGCCCAAGACCACCGTCAGTTCAGTGATCCTCTGAAGGACTCACAGAACTCAGAACAGCCCTTATACTCATGGTTACAGTTTATTCCAGCCAAAGGACACAGATTGAAATCAGCAGAGGCACGAGGCATGTAGAGCAGAGTCCGGGAGAACGTGGGCGCCAGCTTCCAGGGGTCCTTTCCCGCTGGAGTCGTATGGAGAGCACTTCATTCTCCCAGTAACGATGTACGGCAGCACGCTCAGAGTATTGCCCACCAGGGAAGCTCACTCAAGCCTTGGTGTCCCGGATATTGATTGAGGGTGAGTCACACAGGCATGGCTGACTGTCCGAGTCGCTGACCCTAGTCTCCAGCCCCTTCAGAGGTCAAGCTGCTATTGAGTGCCCCAAGGCCCCCACCACAAATCACACTGTTAGCATTGACTAGCGTGGCCCAGGCAGGGAGCTGTGGGCGCTCATTGTAGGACACTAGCCACGGAAGCTTCCGGCAGCCTCCAGAGTGGGCTGAGGGGTTGACAGGGCACCAACAGCCTCGACCACACTTCCTCACGGACATTTTTCTTGTTTCCATCTTTCATTCTCACAAGCAATGTTCTAGAACAGGGATATGTCGACTTCTCCGTAAAGGGCCAGATAGTAAATATTTTCAGCTTCGTGGGCCACACGGTCTCTGTCGCAGCTACTCAGCTCTGCTGCTGTAGCTCGAAAGCAGCCATCGGCATTAGGCAAATGAGTGAGTTTGACTGGGTTCCAATAAAATTTTATTTACAAAAAACAGGTGGCAGGCCAGATTTGGCTTAGAAGCTCTAGTTTGCCCACCCCTGCGATGGAGAATATCCTTGTATGCATATCCTTGTCTATTTGCAGAGATAATTCTATGGGATAAATTCCTAGAAGCAGAATAGCTGGATCACGAGTTATGATATTCCTATCTAGAGCAGATACTGTGAATCTCCCCCAAAAGCGGAACCTGCTTCCTCTTTCGCCAACAGTGCATGAGAGCGTTTCGGATTTCTTTTCTTAAAACTCTTTTCCCAACGAAGCAAAACCTCTACTCATTTACCAGGATGTTTCTGCATTTTCAATTCTGAGCTTTGAACACGCAGACGATGATAGAATGTTCTGCCCCCAAGGGGGAAAACCAAATGAGGCCTGAAATGGCATCCTAAATAGCATCATGCTTTAGATTCGAGGCCCACAGAGAAGGGGACTCTGGTAACTATTTGTCATTTGGTGAGATCAACCCTTACGTTGCCTAGCAGGCGTGGTTCAAGAGTCCCAAATGTTACCTCTTCGAAAAAAAATGTTTTTCAAATGCATCAGAGAGATCCTTAGCAATTGCCTTTATTAAGCAAAGATTCCATTCCTAATTTTTCCCTTCTGAAAGGGATTTTCATGGAAACGAGGTCCACCTGTGCATACTGAGCACTTGACCATGTGTACAAAAAACATACACGGTCCAATTTTTGTCCACGGAGCTGACAGGTACGGGACACTCTTGTTTTGTTTTTTTTTTTGAGGAAGATTATCCCTGAGCTAACTACTGCCAGTCCTCCTCTTTTTGCTGAGGAAGCCTGGCCCTGAGCTAACGTCGTGCCCATCTTCCTCTGCTTTCTATGTGGGACGCCTACCGCAGCATGGCGTGCCAAGCGGTGCCATGTCCGCACCGGGGATCCAAACCGGCAGGATACTCTTGATTGAGACAGCATAGCATTTCACTTAGACTAGTTCACCCACGTCTTTTTGGTTTTTAGACACTTGATGGGCTTTTTGTTTTTCCACTTTTCTTTTTTTTCCCCCATTTGTATCATTTGGAATTCTTGATGTGAACCCCACAGGGGAGAACAGAGGCTCGTTAGCATTCCAGCTCTGTGTTTGGCTGCATAACGTAGCTGCTTTATCTGCTCATCGGTGTCCCTCCTGGGATCCAGCCTGCCTTTGCTCGGCTCACGCTGGGTGAATCTGTGATATTTCCCATTCTGTAGTCCTTCATCTATAACACAGACGCAGCCTGCTTTCCCGTTAGCGAGACGGCATGCCTGGACTACCCCCACGCAGATAAAGAATGAGGCGGAACTCGGCTGGGAAGATAAATCAAGCTAACCATCTCATTAGGCTTGAAAGACACAAATTAAGCTTGCACTGGAATGAACAGAGAAGCCGTCCCCAAAAGACATGCAGTTCAATAAGGGGTTTAAGAAATGGCCACAGCCATGTCTCTCGGGAAACTTGCCTCCGTTGCCTGGAACAGAGGAAACATGAGGTCTCTTTTATAAAAGGTCATCAGTGAGAAATTTATGATCAAAAAAGCAGTCTATTATTGAGGGGCTGCGCTGTGTGCTGACAGAGGTAAAGTACTGTCAAGATTCCTATTGAACCGACAAGGAAACTGAGTCTCAGAGAGGTTCCTTGACTTGTGTCCGGGTCCCAGAACCAGTCAAATGACAGAACTAGGATTAACCTAGGACACCTGGTCTCATGGCCACAGCTTAACCTCGTGGTTCTTATCCAGGATGAATTGGCCCCCCGCCCCAGAGGTTGTTTGGCCATGTCTGGAGACATTTGGGGTTGTGACATCTATGGAAGGGGGTGCCACTGGCATCCAGTGGGTAGAGGCCTGAGATGCTGCTAAGCATCCTGCAATGCACAGGCCAGCCCCACCACAAAGAATGATCCAGCCCCAAATGTCAACAGTGCCATGACTGAAAAACTGGCATAACCACTCAACTGGACTCCAATGATGGCGGACGCTTCCACTAGAACTATCCAGCTGCCGTGCCCTGTGGGCAGTGTGGTCAGGCTACAACACCTAAGTTTTAAGTTGAATATGGCAGAGGGAACAGCTCTCTGGCAGAAGGAACAGCCAGTGCAGAGGCTGGGAGGCCGGAGCATGCCTGGCCATGGTGAGGGACAGCAGGAAACCCAGTGTGACAGGAGCGGGACTCCTGGGAGGGTGAGATGAGGGAACGGGGGAATTCTCACCATTCAGAGAAACAGACAATGACCTAGCAGCGAGGGCCCTGTGTTTGCAGTGGAGGAATGTGTAGACTAACGGCCTCTGTCTTGTCCCCGCCTCCGTCTTGTCCCCGCCTCCCTGTTCTGTACCGCTCCTTCCGCTTGCCTCCTCCCCGCGGCACTCGCCCCTCTGGCTCCCTAGTGTTCGGCCACAACATGAAGAGCAGCAACGACTTCATCGGAAGGATCGTCATCGGCCAGTACTCTTCGGGCCCCTCCGAATCCAACCACTGGCGACGGATGCTTAACACCCACCGCACGGCCGTGGAGCAGTGGCACAGCCTGAGGTCCCGGGCCGAGTGTGACCGCGTGTCTCCCGCCTCACTGGAGGTGACCTGAGGGCTACTGGGAAGGCAATTTTCATTTGTTGAAAAAAAAAGAGAAGAAAATTTAAGACAGAAAAAATGTGTCGTATACCTGTTACATCCACACCTGCATACACACACACAACACACACACACACACATACACACACACACCCCAAATCCTCTCAGAACTAAGAGGAAGCTGACTACTGATCACAAAATGGCCGCCCTCAATGAGTGAGGCCTGAGAACTTTCCAGAAGCCCCATCCGTGTATGTCACGAGCTGAGTGGGCTCTGCTGTGAGACTTACTGACAGAGCTTGCTCTTGTTGATACCCCTGCCCCAAAATGCACTTTGAACTTTCAGGCCAGAGAAAGGGCCTCCCTCAGGGTGCCAACCTCTGTCAAGATGAAATTTTCCAAGAGTTTGGCCAGTTTGCGGAGGCCCGATCCCCGCACCCCAAACTCACACCCGCTGGGTGTCTTCTGAACGGGCTGCTGTTCCCAGGGGTTCCCCAAAAGTGTAAGTACTTTGTCTTCTCTTTAGTGGACATGATTAATAGATTATACTATTTGGAAAAACCAAATGGCAACAAAAAATATTCCAGTGTGAGAAGCTTCCCTCGCTTAACTGAATTTGTCCTTGTGTTAGCTTATTCCTGGGGACTCCCCATGAGTACGTATGTGGATGTTCTCGTGCGTGTGCCCTCACAGGTGAACACATGTGTGTGCCGTGTGTCCTCTTGGCGAGCAGGGCGGTGGACCAGAACCTCAGTCCTGAGTGCTCCCTTTTCTCTGCCTCTCCCGTCAGTGAAATTTCACCCAGGTCCTCCTGTCTGTCAAGGCCCCACCTTCAGTAACAGTAGCGCATCTGTATGTCAAATAAATAGAATATCATAATAGAGCAAACGTAACACTTTTTGACCGAATCATGGTGATCGTGACTCACAGAAAACCTGCAAAGGACGGTTATGTGGATTAAAATGGCCACCGCAGCCACCCCACCCCATCCAAGATGCTCTCCTGACTTGTCACACTCTGAGGACCTTTCTGTGTTTGTGTTGTGAACCAAAGTCATTTCTCTCTAAGTGCTAAGGAATTCGTGTAGTTAGAGTAGATCTCTCTGTGTCGGATGCTTCTGTATCTTTTCCCACAGCATATTGTCTGGCATAAGGGGGAGCGATTTGTTGAAATTAAAGATTATTTATTTGTGCCATGCATTCGCGTTATCTTTTTCTTTATGAACATGGGGCATCGAGGGTACGAGGGTGTCTCGGTCACTGCTGCTGTGTAATGACCATCCCGATGACTCAGCGTGCTGCCATGGCATGAAGGTCAAGGGGGAAAGGCAGGAGGGCTGGGTTGGGTGATGCTTCTCAGGAGAGAAGGAGAGAAGGCATTTTCCCTCTCTGTCACATGGCTCCCTTACCGTGATGGTACAGAAGACGATAAAAGCCTGAGAGAGGGAACAGAATGAGGGAGGATGGGGACCTAACAGGCGTTCAGGACTAGAGATGAGGTCATATCGTGACTGGGCCCATGGGCTTTGGGACCAAAGAAGCCATGGTTCAAATCTCAGGCCCACCACTCCCTGCCTGTCTGCCCTTGCACAAGCCACATACCTTCTCTGAGCCTCAGTTTCCTCATCGTCTTAATTAGGATTCCTCAAAAGCAGACCATAAGGCAGGGGCCTGGGTGCAGATAGTGTAGTTGGGAAATGACCCCGGGGAAGCATGAACGGAAGATTAAGTGAAGGAAAAGAAAAAAGCAGATAAGAGCTGCATTAATTACCTCTGTGGGCAGCTGGGGTTCTGTCGTGCTGGGAACCCAGGCAGAATACACTTGAGAATTATCCTTATGGGGAAGCTGCGGTATTTGACTACTCACCCTTATTCCTCCAGGCCTGAGGGTTGCCCCTGGAGGCACAAAAGGGCACTTTAGGACTGTCCTGCCCGGGCTGAGAGAGCTTCCGTAGCACCGAGAAATCCCCGGGCAGAGAACGAGGTGCGTGTACTCCATCAGGTGCGCAGTCTCCGTGCACGTTCCCGGGGAACTTGACTGCAGCCGCAGGGGAGCTCGGGCGGACTGAGGGCTGCGAGCGAGGTGGGGTACGCCAACCAGCTCACTTAGTCCTCACGCAGCAACCCACACGCGAGAGGTTCTTAGTCGCCATTTACAAATTAGGAGGCCAAGGTTTAATGAGATTAAGTGGCAAGTGAGCAATAGAGCTGGAATGCCAGCCCAGCCCCATCCGACTCCAGAGCCTGTTATGAGCTGAGTTCTGTCTCCCTCAAGATAGATATGCTGGGGTCCTAACCCCCAGGACCTCAGAATGTGACCTTATTTGGAGAAAGGGTCTTTACAGAGGTGATCCAGTTGAAGTGAGGTCCTCAGGGTGGGTCCTAAATTTGCCTGGTGTCCTTATAAAAAGGAGAAATGTGGGCACAGAGACAGACACGCACAGACAGGGTGCAGAGACACGGAGAAGACGGCCACCTCCAAGCTAAGGAGAGAGCCCCGGGACACACCCTTCCCTCGCAGCCTCAGAAGGAACCAACCTGCCGACCCCTTGATTTCGGACTTCTGGCCTCCAGAACAGGGCGACAATGATGTTCTGCTGTTGGAGCCACCCAGTCTGTGGTGCTTTGTCACGGCAGCCCCAGGAAACTGATACAGAGCTGGGGGGCTAAGCCCCCTGCGGGGCTGTCTCATCTGAAAGGAGGGTGACAGTTCTTACCCCATGGGCTTGAAGCGGGCATTAGTGGCAACAATGCCTGCAAAACCTGAGCTTACCGTCCTCGCTGGCTTTCCACCTAGGCGCACATCAGGCAACGTTTGCTGGCTGACCAGAGGGAACAGTAGGAGGGCAGATGGCAGAGCCGTCCGCGTCTCCAAGGAAAGAGTTTGTCAGGAGAAAAGGGAAATGCGTTGAAAGGTGAAGAATGACTTGGTTTCTATAGAAACCTGGGCCCAAGGTGCCCTATCGTGGGCCACCCATTTGTTTCAAATAGCATCCTCCTCCTCCTCAACTAGGAGGTGGGAAAGGACACGTATGGGCCACCTACATGCCCTCTTTGGGGTGCGGAACCCAAGTTCAAAGGAAGGAGGTGGGGGAGGAGGGGTGGTGCGAAGTTTTAAAGCCATGTCTGTTTTCCCAGGGCTAATCCTTGAGCCCTCTCATCTCTTGAGACTCCAGAACCCCCCCAGGATTCCAGTCTACCCTCTGGGACCTGCCACAAAGTACAGCCTCTGCCCGGCCCTGCTCAGACGTGATGGGTCCCAGGGCGCCATTTGGGGCACTGATGTCTCGCTCCCAGAAAGCGGGGGATCGCTGCCAGGGAGAGGAAGGAAGATTCACTTTCTCTTCTGGGTGGCCTGTCTTCCACTGGCGGTGACCTTTTTCATATTCAAGAATACCGTTTAAAATAACTCAAGAATGATCACCGCTATGTAAAAACTAACAACTTACACCTAGAAAGAAGACCGGAAGGCATCGCCCTGAAGGTTGGCAGGGGGATCCTTCGGGAAGCTGTTTTTCTATTCAGCTTGATGCCTTCCTGTACGGTGTGTTCGAAGGTTCCATGGCGATCCACTGGTAGCTAACATGTCTTGAGTGCTTACCGTGTGTCAGCCGTTGACCTAAGCACTTGTACGAGGGAAGTACTGATCTGTCCCCATTTTGCAGGTGACGAAACTGAGGCTTAGAGGAAATAAATCAGTGCGGTCCCACAGCAGCAGGTGTGGAATTTGAACATGGATGTAGCTGAATTGAAAGCCATGCAATGAACTAGCCTCTACTATCCCTTTTATGATGGTGGTAAGGGGGCAGGGGGCTTTGTTTTATTGGTAAATACATGATATTTTTAAGGAAGGAAGGAAGGAGGGAAGAAGGGAGGGAAAGACAGAGGGAATCGTCACTGAACCCCCAGGCCACCATGAGCACACTGTGTGTGTGAGTGTGTGTATGTGTATTTGGGGGTGCAGGGCAGTAATACCGTCACACAATAAATGCAGCTTTAAGAAGCCAGAAAATACATACTGTGTTACAAAGAGACTTCTACAACCTTCAAATGACAGCAAAGACCATATTTGTCAAGTGAGGAAATTGTCTACTGTCTGGCCAGTCAACTTGAGGTCTAGAACAGGGGTTAAGCAACTGTGGCCCATGGGCCAAATCCGGCCCACTGCTTGTGTTTATAAATAAAGTTTTATTGAAACCCAGCCGGGCCCATTCCTATAGTCTGTGGCAGAGTTGAGTAGTTGTGACAGAGACCAAGTGGCCTGCACAACCTAAAATATTTACTGTGTGGCTCTTTACAGAAAAAGTTTACGTTGTAGTTATGGAGGATAAGTCCAGAGATCTAATGTACAGTATGATGACTGTAGTTAATAACATGGTACTGAATCCTGGAAATTTGGCAAGAGAGTAGATTTCAGGTGTTCTCATCAGCAAAAAAAGGTGACTATGAGAGGAGGTGATCTGTTAATTAGTTTGACTGTAGCGTCATTTCACTGTGTATATGTGTATCAAATCATCATGTTGTCCACCTTAAATATATACAATTTTCATTAAAAAATAGAAGTTTTTAAAAGTTTGCCTACCCCTGTCTAGAGCAATGCTTCATAAACTTTAATGTACCCAAGACCTCCTGAGATTTACTCAAAACGCAGATTCTGATTCAGTGGATCTGGGGCGGGGCCAGAGATTCTGCATTTTTAACGAGCTCCCAGGAGATGCCGTGCTGCTGGTCCGTGGACCATGCGGGATTGAGCACATAACAAATACTTTGTGTGTTTTCATCCGGGGATGGCATGAACTGATTGACAAAAACCTTCAGCCATCACATATCAACACAGATCATTAGGGGGTTTATTTGCCAAATCAAAAGATCCTCCACTTTTGAAAGGATTTCCAGTGGCCTGCATCTGACAGCCCCCCTTCTCCCCACCTGGTACGGGCACCCTCAGAGGGTGTCTGATTTCCGTGACAGCAGGGGTCTCCACAGTGCAGAGCACCAGATGATGGGGAGTAGGGAGAAAATATCCAGACTTTCTTCTATATTTATATTTTGCATCAACCTTTTAAAAGCATCAATTTTGGGGGAGAGGTGTTTTATAACAGACATGATATATTAGTCCGGTAAGTAGTACGTGCACTTCACTTATAAATATATAATACATTCATGTGCCGCATAACAACGTTTCAGTTTACGACGGGCTGCACATACGATGGTGGTCCTGTAAGATTAGTACCATATAGCCCAGGCATGAGGTGGGCTGCATCATCTAGGTCTGTGTAAGTGTCCTCTGTGATGTTCGCTCAGTGATGAAATTGCCTAACAACGCATTTCTCGGAACGTATCCCCAATGTTAAGCAACACCTGCCTGTAAGTGTATGTCATTGATAAACAAATAATGTGCATACTCTGGAGTGTGCCCCAGCACAAATTTTGGAGGCAGCTGGTAGGCATGAGGCGTGCTGCCGGCTGACGTTGGGCCTGGGCTGTGCTCGTAGCCCGGGTCAGCCTGGGCACGCTTTCATCCCAGGGTCAGCAGGGCAACACACGCTGTGTGGGCACGAGTTAGGGTATTCCTCGAAGTCAGAGCAGCGAGTGTTCCAGAGAAAAAAACGAGTGACCAGGACATGTTCAAGTCCCCCTAGTGAATGCCAGGGGCACTGAGTGTCAGGCACCTGGCTGAGTGCAGGGTGGGGAGTGTGCGAGGGGACGCCAGGAAAAGGCTTGCTCCGGATCCGTGATAATCCCAGCAAAAGTGTCTACCATTTATTCAACTCCTGCTACTTGCTAGCATGGATGGCAGATCATTTCATCTTTGTGAGGTAGGTTCTGTTCTCATGCCCTATTTTATCAAGGAGGAAACAGGCTCAGAGAGGCAAAGAGACTTGCCTGAGGACGCACGAAGTGGACAGAAAAGACTCCGATTTTGAGAGGTTAATTCTCCCTCAATGCAATGAGATCCCAAGGAAACACCAGCGGGTTTTAAAACATTTAAGTGTGAGCAAGCCACGCGCTAGAACTCTGCACAGGGATGACGTTTGCTCCTCTTTGTCGAGCGCTTACTCTGTGTCGAGAACCTTCTACTGGGGCCTCCTCTAACCCCCAAGAGACCCTGAAAGGGGAAAGGAAAGGAGGGGAGGCTGCCCCACAGCGGCCAGGGACCCCGGGGTCCGGAGGCAGACCGGGTGGCCTGGGCGAGCCCGCGCGCAGCCCGCCTGAAGGGGGCGCCCTTTCTCAGCCCCACGCCATAATTCCCATTGCCCCGCCAACGAGGGCTAAGGCTCATCGGATCTTCAGATTTTCGACAGAAGGCAGAAGTCTGGACTTACCCCTAAAATCTCCTTACCTGCTGGGACCGGCTGGGCTGTGAGCTGCGTTCTCATCCCATCTTACAGAGGGGGAAACTGAGTCTCAGAAGCGCGCGCACGCCCAAGGCCACACGTGGCTCCGAAGCAGGGCTGCAGGGTCTCTGAGCTCTCCGAAGGGGCTGGCCCGGGCCAACGCTTGAGCTGTTTCCAGCGGGACAGAGAGGAGGGAGCAGAGGCGGGAGGGGAGGAGAGGGGAGGGGGAGGAGACTGGGGTCGCCCAGTGTGTCCTGAGGGCTGGAGGCCCCGCCTGCGCCCGGGAGAGCAGTCCTGGACCCCAGCTCCCGCAGAAGGGCCTCTCTCCAGCGCTCAGGCCCGGAGGGGGCTTTCTCCCTGCTCAGGATGCAGAGGTGGGGGCTGTGGGCCGCGGCCGCCCTGACCCTCCTCTCTGCACAGGCCTTTCCGCAAGCGGACATCAGTATCAGCCCAGGTGAGCACAGGGCCCAGGGCCGGGAGCAGGTGGAGAGGAGGGCGCCCCACAGACCCTTGAGGTGCTATCAGTGAGGCCTGGCTGCCGGCGCTGTAGCGTCCCTTTTGGAGGCCTGGGGCTTCAGAGGAGCTCAATTTCTTCCTCTCTTCAGTGGGGAAGCTGGGGTGCTGACTCTGGGGGGCCTCATCTGCGTTGGAAGAGTCCCGAGTCCAGGAAATTCCTCGTGGCTGAGGATCTTGCCTGTCACCTCTGCCATGAGGGTTCTTTCCAAACGTTGTTTAAAAATAAAATAATGGGGCCGCCTGGGTGGCTCAGCCATTAAGTTCGAACATTCCGCTTTGGAGGCACGGGGTTCGCTGGTTCGGATCCTGGGTACAGACACAGCACCATTTGGCAAGCCATGCTGTAGTAGGCGTCCCACATATAAAGTAGAGGAAGATGGGCATGGATGTTAGCTCAGGGCCAGTCTTCCTCAGCAAAAAGAGGAGGATTGGTGGCAGTTAGCTCAGGGCTAATCTTCCTCAAAAAAAAAGAAAAGGAAAGAATAATAATATCAATAACAACTATTAAGATTTACGTAGCCCTGACTTTGTGCCAGGGACTGGGTTAAGCACTTTTCATATGTGGATTTATTTAATCCTCGCAATAACCCTGTGGCAGAGATATTGTTTTTATCCCCACTAGAGTAAAGCTCATCATGAAATCCTGGTAAGATTCCCATCAGGCCATGTCATCGGGCTGGTAGAGTGTTGGGGTGAATTTAAACAGTGGGGTGATAGGGTTGCCAGGTAAATTTGCATTTCAGATAAACTATAAATCATTTTATAGTATGTGTGTCCCAAATATGGCATAGGATGTCCTTATGCTAAAAATTATGTGTTGTTTCTCTGAAATGCAAATTTAACTGGGCATCCTTTTTTTTTCAACCTGGCATCAGTGGTGGGGATGAGTATAGTCTTGGTCCATTTAGGCAAACCTCAGGGCTCCAGTTCTGTCATAAACTCTGAGTGTCTGTCTCAGTCAGCCCGGGCTGCTATAACAGAATACCGCAGCTGGGTGGCTTCAACGGGAATTGATTTCTCGCCGTTCTGGAGGAGGGCGAGTCCGAGATCAAGGTGCTGCCTGAGTCGGTTCCCCCAGCGAGGGCTCTCTTCCTGGCTTGAAGATGGCCCCCTTCTCCCTGGGACCTCACAGGGCAGAGAGTGAGAGAGAGTGTGTGCTCTGGTGTCTTCCTCTTCTCATAAGAGCACCAATCCCATCATGGGGGCCCCACCCTCATGACCTCATCTAACCCTAACCACCTCCCAAAGGCCCCGCCTCCTACCATCACCTGGGGGCTAGGGCTTCGGCATACGAATTTGGGGGGACACAGACATTCAGTCCATGACAGCATCTTTGCATCCTTGCTCTTGTGCCTTGGTTTCCTCATCCATGCAGTGGGTGAGCAGGAGGGAAGCTGGACAAAATATCCTTGAAGGCTGCCTTGGATGTTCCAAAGTCTTGCCTCTCTGCCCGGCGTGTGTAGGAAGGGCCCGAGGCTGAGCTGAGAGGGAGAGAACAAGGGGAATCCTCTCCCTCACTGGCTGGTGCCTGTGGGGACTCTCTCTGAGCTTCACGTTTCCTCCCCTGGAAAGTGGGGCTAATAAGGGGCTAATAAGCCAAACGTTTGAGGATCTTCAGAGAGATCATGCAAGCGAGGCACTGAGCACCTGCTAAGCCCTTGAGAAATGGGAGTTCTTCCTTTTACCACTTCTGCCGCTGTGGTGCTGACGTTGTGATAGAATTGGCGGGGAGACAGCTTTCTCTTGCAACAGAAGACCCCCAAAAAGGCACATCCAGACAGCTAGCCCCCCGCCTTACCCCCCCCTACAGATAAGGGGACTGAGCTGGCTCCAAACCCAGCAACGGTGGAGATCTCAGGGTTGGCGCTGAAGGACGGGCCCTGGAAATCCATTTGGCCCAACCTTTCCAGATAACAGCCGTGGAAACTGAGGCCCACAGAGGCCAAGTGACCTGGCCAAGGTCCTCACCCGTCCAGGCCGTAGTTGTGCTGTCCCCGGGCTCCCAGCCTGGCAGAAAGCCCAGCTGCAGCCCGAGCAGACAGATCCTCTAGGGGGAAATGATTTCAACCCAGGAGAGAACGCGTGAGTGTGTGTGTGTGCGTGCATGTGTTTAAGTGGGCGTGTGTCTGACTGTGGGTGAGTGTGAGTGTGCATGTTGCTATGTCGGGAGGGCTTGTCTTGGTGGGCCTTGCAGACTATGAAGGTGGGTGCACAGCCAGAAGCCCTCCGTATGGAGAGTGGGCCTGGTTTGTCTTCTGGGTACCCCCAGCCTTTAGGTGCGAAGCAAACAGGGCATTGGTCATTCCGTCATCCATCCCACTGCTTCTGGCCTTTAATTACTCACCCCTGAGCATGCAAACATATGCAAATATATGCAAATAGTGCGACTCAGCCACACCCCCAGATCCCTGCATCCCCAGCCACATCCCTTTAGACACCTCAGAGAGACTTGGGAGAATTTAGCCAGACTAGATCCTTTCCCCAAAACCTTCTCTCTGAACCTGGCTTTGATCACATGGTTTAAGTGGATTCACGCAGGAAAGCTGCTTAGAAGAGAGCCTGGCGCCTAGTCAAAGCTGCGTCAATATTTGCTATTATGACTCTTCAACCGTAACCATCAAAAAGTGTTCTTTCCCTGCTCCGGAGCCCCAGAACTCTCCACCCAAAGGAAATTCTAGCCAAGTGTTCTGAGGCTCAGGGTCACTACTGCAGGGCTGCAGGGGTGGGGGGCGGGGAATCGGTCAAGTTCCCTAGCCTCTTCTTCTCCCCTCCGAGAAGCTGGCCTTGCTCTCTCCGCTCTGGGAGGATTCCGGGGCCCAGGCTATTTCTGTTGTAATAATATCTAATGTTTATTAGGATGCCTACTGTGAGGCAGGCACTGGCTTCCCTGTGAAGTAGGCCTATCATCACGCCCATCTTACAGATGAGGAAACTGAGGCACAAACTGCGGAGTTTCCAACTAGGGCCATCTGACTCGAATCCAAGCTCTTAAGCTGGAGCACAGAGACCCGGGGAACTGCACCCCAGCTTCCTACCATCCACCTGGGAGTCTGGATCATAGAGTCGGGTCCTAGAGCGCCCTGTGCACGTTCTGGCCCACTCCCCACCCCTCCTCGATGGTCACAGAGCGGTCGGAGTACTTCTAGGATATCTCCTAGGAGATGAGGACCCATTGCCATGTGTGTTGTGTGTTCCTCCCTCCAGGCTGTGAGCAACTTGAGGGCACAGACCTCAAGCCAAATAGGCACCCAGGAAACGTTGAATTGTTTGCTCACTTAACTGTTGGTCCTGGCTGGGGCTGCTGTAACAAGATACCCTAGACTGGGAGGCCGAAACAACAGACATTTATTTCTCACAGTTCTAAAGACCAGGAAGTCCAAGATCAAGGTGTTGGCCAATTCGGTTCCTGGTGAGGACTCTTCCTGGTTGCAGACAGGCACAGAGACAGACAGCCCTGGTCTCGCTTCCTCTTCTCATAAGGGCACTAATCCCATTATGGGGCTCCACCCTCATGACTCAGCGAACCCTAATCACCTCCCCAAGGCCCACCTCCAATACCATCACGTTGGGGAACAGAGCTTCAGCCTGTGGACGTGAAGGGGGACGCGTGCGGTCCCCAACACTGTTAAAGTTGATGTTTGATGGATCTGTCTTACAAATGAGGAAAACAAGACCAAAAGAAGATGCTTTCCGGGGGCACTGCAGTGCTTAGGAATTTCCGAGTCCGTAGACCTGAGTCTCACGCTGACACCGCCACTTGCCAGCTGTGGGAGCAAGTGAATGGACCTCTCTGAGCCTCAGTTTCCTCGTCTGTAAAATGGGGCTGATACTGATACCCCCCCCCACCAGGTTGGTCTCAACAGTTACGTACTAACCCCCCGATGAATGGCCACTGTTAGTCGCAATATAAGAAATTACCCAGTGCTGTTTCCTCTGTGTCATGTGGCCACAAAAGCTGCCCAGAGACGGGAGAGCAAAGCTCAGGCGTGAGGCCTGGGACCCCCAGTTCTGCACAGCAGAGCCGGGGCCCACTGGAGGAGGACGCTCTGCGGTGGGATGTGCCCCGGAGAGGCAGCAGCAGTGAAGGCCCTGAGGGCTTCCTGGACCCTGGGAGACCCTTGCCTTCGACCCCCTGAGACATCTAGGGCCCAGTGGTCGGGGTAGGGGGCCAGATGTGGCCCCCAGAGCCTCCCCTTCTCCTCTCCTGGCTGGCTCCCACGGCTGATCTGGGCAGGAGGCGGTAGGGTGGTGGTTTGTGGGCAGCTGGATTGGGGCCAGGGAAGCGTGCAGCCAGATTGAGTGGGAGGGTGACAATTTATTCTTTTAGAAAGAGAGAGAAGAAAACGAGCCCCGAGCTCCACTGGTGTGTTCTCTTTCCTTAACAAGCTCAGAGCTCCCAAAGTCTGTGACTCCCACTCCAGCTGGGAGACCTTGGGGGGCCTGCGGTGCTGCTAATTGAGGTAAAAGACCATGGAGTTTGGCCTCCTGGTTTCCAGAGCAACAAGCTCCTTTGAGGCCCTCCTTCCCCTCCCCGCTTCCTCTTTCACCTCCAGCCTCATCTCCGTCCTCCTCCTCCTCTGGAATTCCCGGCCAGGCTGAACCATTTGCAATTCTCCAAATGTTCCCTTCTCTCTCATACCTCCGGGCCTTTGCACATGCTGTGCCCTCCACCTGGAACGCTCTGTCTCTGACTCTTATTCATCCTTCAAGTCTCAGCTGAGACATCACCCCCTCCAGGAAGCCTCCTGGATCTCCAAATCTGGGTTTTTGTGCCACTTTTACGTGCCTCCGTGGCAACATCTTGTACTCTCAATCCATGAAGGGAACTCTGGTGCCCTGACATAGTCACCCGTGGACTCCTTGAGGACAGGGTCAAGGTGGCCACCAGTTCAACTAGGGAGAGCAGAGGGCCAGACAAATAATTAGCTTCCAAAATAA